ACCGGGCGGGAAGGGCGCGAGAGGGGCCCGGGAGGCTGCGTTCGCCCGGGTGCGCTTGTGCGAGGCAGGCCTCGAGCCCTGCGCTTTGTTGCCTCTCCTCATCCCGTTACCAGGCTGCCCAGGGAAGTGGTGGAGTCCCCATCCCTGGAGGTATTTAAAAGACGTGTAGATGAGGCGCTTAGGGACATGGTTTAGTGGGCATGGTGGTGTTGGGTCGACGGTTGGACTCGATGATCTTAGAGGTCTTTTCCAACCTCAATGATTCTATGATTCTATGATTCTAAACCGGGGGACGGGGCTTCTCGTCGGAGCGTGCTTTCTGCAGTTCGCCTAGTTGTTGGGTAACTTGTGGTTCCCGCATCAGAAGGTTGCCTTGGAAATAACTCACCTCCCTCCTTGTTTTTTTTTTTAAATCTGGTTATCGTACACACCCAGCCGTACTGTTATCGCCACTGCGTTTATGTGACGACGTTTATTTTTTTTGATTTTGGAAGACCATCAGATAAAGCAACGCGATCTCTTACAGTGAAGTTGTTACTGTGGTAAGGCAAGAGTTGATGGCAGCCCTCAGGTATTTTATCTACTGCATTCTTAACCCTCCTGGCAGCTCTGTTATTAGCTTCCAGGATAAGAATGAATGCCAGAGAAAACTGTTGATTAATCCAAAATGTAGAGCTCTTCTCCCGTGGCTCCTCGTTATTTCACATCTTCAACATTTACTTAAATGTATTAGTAATTAGTGAAGGTTTTAAATGTAACTGTGAGTACTCAAGGTACTCAAATTCATCCAAGGCACTCAAGCGAATCATGAGAAGTAAGCTGATATTCGTTGTGCTGGGTTGTTTCTATCGTGGGAGTATGTATAATATTCCTTTGATAACTGATCAGAAGATAAGAATATTACCGTTAAGATAAGCTTTCCGGGCAAGTAAACGTAACGTGATCAGCAGTTTCAGGGATGGAAGAGTCGATAACTAGATGGGTGAAAAATGAGTATCTACCTGATGATGTTTAAACATAACGTAAACGCTTTGATTCTGTCTTAATGGATTGAATTTGTTGGGTGACCGGTGTTGGCGCTTAACAGCGTATTTATTCCGCTTTCTGTAAGCTATTCCACAGCAAATTGTGTCTTTCAAATACTTTGTCTTCAGGCCCTTGCTCATGTATGTAGGATCTTAGATGCATGCTTTTTGTGTGTCTTCCAAGTACTTTTTGCCCTGCAGTGCAAGTCATTCATTGGGAATTTTTAATATCGTAAACTGGTATGTCTTGCACAAGCAAACTCGATTGTTGGCAGTATAATCAGCCATGTTCTTTTTATGATGTTAAATATGTAGTAGAGAATATTGGATTACATAAGATTTTTGCAGAAGCACTGGAAGTGATTTTTGCATCCCATTGTTTTCATTATCTGAGCTTCTATCCAGTAATGTTCTGAATAAACCTTAGACTTGCTCTGATTAAGAATTAACATTTTCTTTAAAGTGGAAAACCATTGTGGTTTGATAGGGGATGGCTGTTGTCATTTGGAGGACATCGCTGTATGACCTACGATCCTTGGACGTGATACACTGGCCTTCCTTTAGTTGTAAGACTTCAGATAATATTAAGGAATTTGGTTTTATTTTTATTTTTTAGTACTGTAACTGATTCTTTAGTGTGGATGCTTCTGTAGTGGTGCCAGTGATCTGATTATTACAGCGTTTTTACTGTTGGATAGTAAGGCTTGGGCTGTAAAATATCTGACCAAAAAAGGTCCAATGCAGCAGCCAGTTGTAGTTCTTTAGATGAAGATACGCTGCTTCTCGGGCAATAGTAGGGGTATTGGATGAAAAACTTGTAGAAGCCACCTTTGCAGCAGATCTTTTCCAGTAACATTCTTAGGGTAAGATTGTTTTTCAGCCTCTGTGATACAATGTCACCAAAATTTGGGAAGGACAGGAGATCCTGCATGTCAGCCTGTTGTATTTGGTCAAGCACATGCTGACAAATGAAGAACCGGTATTTTCTTTGCCATCCCAGTTATATTGTACATCTTTTTGGGCTGTGTTAGGACCAAAGTTTACATTACGAAGGCCCGTGGTAAAAACGAGGTGGCCAGATTCAGGTTTCAGAAAAAAAAAAATTGTGATTTCCTGGGAGGCTTGAAGAACTGCTGGACTTTGGTTTTCCAGATGTCTTAATCTTATTTACTTAGCAGGGTTTTTTGTTATTTTAGGTTTTCGTGTTGCTAGTTTGGGGGCACGTCCATATTTAATCTTGGGACCAAAAGATAGCAAAGCTCTCTGGAGCTGTTTATTTTCCACAGCTGTATTTTAGGATGATGAGATTTTAGGTGTGCTTACTATTCGTGTTCTTGAATGTATAAGCCAGAACTGTTCTGTATGCAAGTGCAGACACTGATCTCTTCGTTCAGAGACAGACAGATTTCTGACCGTGCTGAACTTCGCCTCAGAGCACCTTCTGCCTGGACAGCTGAGTGAGAGGAGAGCAGTAGGCAGGCTTCACGGAAGGCAGCTGAAGGTGCCGATGGCTCTTTGGTCCTTCTGCTCCTTTCTGGGACTGGTTTTGAAGCTGCTGGGGCAACTCAGGGATTTTTGCAACCCATGCCAGCGCGTCCGGTTATCCATTGGTCCACATTTGAAACTTATTCCCTGTGTACAAGAGCTGTGCCTGAAGAACCTGCAAGTCACGTGCAGTTTGAGAGCTGCAGTGTAGCGTTCTGTTTTGGATGGATGCACGGGCATTTCTGTATTAACTAAGATTCCTTCTATGAAAGATTGCCCTTCACCTTTTTTTAAATGTGAATGTCTTTAGAAAAGAGGGAAGTTTTTAATTTTCTTGGCGGTCCCTGAGGGAAAACAAAAAAATTTTCTTTTTCCCTGCCCCCCCCCCAAGCCATTGCTTTTTGCTTGTCGTATTACAAATGTAACTTCTGGCTGTTGTTGCAAAGATATTTTAAAACCAGTGTTACCAACCAGTATGGGAAGAATTCCTAAATACCCTTTAAAGCTATTTGGGTTTTGTAATTGTTTTAGCTAATGGACCCATAAAGAGACCTGTAAAAATGTATTAAGAAGAGGAAGAAAAATTGCATAGTAATCAGACTTGAAAGATTCTGTAGATTGGTGTTCAGTTTTAAAATCTTGGTGATTCTTCATGTTCCTTTACTATTTTCAGGTTAAAGTATGTGATTTCATATGTGTGTGATCAGTGATGAAAAGCTTTTATTAAATAGTTACAGTTACCAGCATGTCTTCTTTTGCTTTATCTCTGAATGCTTAACCTGGTGACTGATACCTGTTGTAATATTTTAGAAGATGTCGTAGTCACACCAAGAAAACACAATTTTCTCCTGAAAATGATGTTAAGCTGTTACTCTTTGGACTTTTCATTGACGTTTTCACTGGATGCACTACAGTTGCAACATGGCTTGTTTTGATAGTGAAACATTTCAGATACTACTTTTTTTTTCCTTCATTTTTATTTAATCTTTAAGATTTTTTGTATTAGCAAAACAGGTTTGCATAGTGCAGTTTAAATTTTTACGCAAATTAATGCTTCAGAAAATTTGGAGTAAGCTAATTGAAGGCACCAACTTTCAAGAGATAAATTCTTCTTTAATATTGAAAACAACCATAATGATAAAATTATAGTGTGCTACAGTTCTATATGACACATTTTTCTGTATATGATATTGTAAAATAACATCCACATGTCAGTAAGTTGTAGAAATTCAGGTGCTAAGGGTTATTAAGGTATCATAGAAGGTAAAAGGGTGATCCATGTAGTTAGAATGTGAACTCCCTTTGTATAAAGAACACTTGATCTTGTCCATAAATTTCACGTGTTACATTATCACTACTAGGAAATAGTATTCCTGAATGTCTTCATCATGTGGACAATCGCAGATTTTTAACATCATTTCCGTTAAAACTGCTAGTCATATTTGGAAGTATTTCTAGCTTGTAAAATTGTCTCAAAAGAAGTAACACGGTCAACATAAATGTTCACCAAGCAGACACTGAGGACAAATAGTAAGAGTACAGTTGTTTAACCATAGGCTGTATTTAAAAGTCATATCGGTGTAACTATTTCAGTTGATGAACTGATGACTTACAAAACTGATTATTCTAAGGAAATCACCAGCATTACTATGATTATTCTTTCTTGCATGAATAGGTGCTACTACAAAATATCTTTATACCTGCCTAATTGCATTAAAAGCAAGCTATATATCATTTTAATTACACTTGTTTTGCTGGAGTGGTACAACTTTATGTTGCAGGCCAACTTTATGCCTTTAGGTTGGGCAACTAAATCTGTAAATGTTTGTTCCATCTGTAAATGTTTGCTTTCCTCAGATTTCAGAAATGTATGCTTTAGTATTGCTCTTGCTGTGGGGCGATGAGGTACTGCCACCTCTTTAGCTAGCGCCCAAGTCTTTGCTATAAAGCCGCTGGGAAAGTGCACTCGTACTGTGACCTGCTGAAGTTCCTGTTGGTGCTGCACCATATAGTTCAAAATTCGATAGCCTTGACTTGTAGGCAGTTCTTCTGTGGCTTATCATAGTTAGAAATCACGTAGAGAAATCCTGTATTACTCTAATTCTCTTTCCTTCTTCATGCCTCTAGTGCATGAGGTATGCTCTGCTGCAGGCCCTGCACAGTTGGTGTTTACCATAGCCGGCAGGAGAAGATTTGCCATTGTGAGTTGGTATGCTACTGCCAGCCCTCGTTAGACCTCTAAATGGTATTCTGTTGCAGAGAGTGGGTTGCGGTCTTGTGTTCCGTCTTCAATATCTGGAATACATTACCAGTTTCTTATCGATTTGTTCACTGTTTCGAACTATAATCTGAAGGCTTTTTTAATTGCAAATTAAAAATGTAAGATGTTTTTATTCTTACAGGAAGGAAGAAACAGAAGCTTGCCAAAGAGAGAGCGGGGCTTTCCAAGGTAATACTGTGTTCAATAATGCAGTGCTGTTTTGAAAGATGTTTCATTTGTATTATTTGTAAGATATGTTTAAAGATATGTTTTGATTCCAGCATTACAAACACTTCTGCAAATATGCAGTCTTTAGGTTTTTTTAATGCTCACAAATAACCATATGAAATGGTTGTTCCTTTTTTGTGTCAGGTAGAGGCCTTGTACTAGAAAGTACAACATTTACTCTGTGATTTGATGGTGTTTTCCTCTTTGTTGTATGTGCAAGGACTTTTCAGACTTAAAAATCATTGATGGGATATGCCTATAACTGAACTTGATAGTTTTTTGCTATAAGTATTTGATTTCTCTTTCCTTATCGCCAGTGGATCCTGGAAGAAAAGATATATTTATCTTAACCAATTGTAAGAAATACAGTTGTGATAAACATAACACCCCTTAATTTATATTTCCTACAAAATTGTGTACTTAATAGAGGTATTTCAGGCTCTGTCTCTCTACAGATTTGTGATGCAATGATATGAGACCTGAGTCTGATTTTCAGAAACATTGTGTACATTTAACTTAGTGGTGACACTTTTAATTTTTTCTGCCAGTTTCAGTGTAACAGTATGGTTGCGTGTGTTGCGTTCTCTCAGTTGAGAATGTTTTCTGCTAACTTGTTTATTAACTGATGTTTAAGGGCCAACTTCAGTTTTACTGTGTGTGTTATAGTTGCCTGATCTGAAAGATGCTGAAGCAGTTCAGAAGTTTTTCCTTGAGGAGATTCAGCTTGGCGAGGAACTACTAGCTCAAGGTAATAGCATAATTTTTTTTGAAGGGTAAGTTGTAAAATAATTTTTCTTTACCTTTGCTAGAAGATGATTTTTATATACTAAGATCTTTTGGGGAGTCAAACTCACCTAGGAAAATCTGTTTACTTGTCTCTAACCTTCTGTGTTCAGAAGATCCAGCAAGGGAGGAGGAAAGAAAAGTGTGGATTGATTCTCAGTAATTTAATCCACTGTTGATGGATGTTTTATGTAAATACTTTACAGTGTGGAAGAAGGTTGATTTCAAAACACTATGATTTTCCATACAGGTGAATATGAGAAAGGTGTTGATCACTTGACCAATGCCATTGCTGTGTGTGGACAGCCGCAGCAGCTACTACAAGTTCTACAGCAGACTCTTCCACCGCCGGTGTTTCAAATGCTTCTAACTAAGCTCCCTACAATAAGCCAGGTATGTGAAATGTTCCCTGTTGTTTTGATTTGAAAATAATTGAACTGCTTCTCTTACCCACTACATCAGTCTCGAGTACTGGTTTTTGTAATAAGTTTTTTGTATATGTTCAGTTAGATTAAAAGAAGCTTTTTTTTTTTTCCCACCTGAAACATTACAAAGTGTATATGAAAAATACCGTGTGGCATTAATAGCATACAGGGTAAAATAGAAATACAAAACTTCTCTCATGCGTAGGGTATGCTAAGCTCTCTTAAAGTAGAGACATCTGACTGCAACTCTGATGCTATAAGTGGATCCACTGTTTCCCAAATACAAGCTGGGGGATCAGAAAAGCGGTAACTTTCTTGCATTGGGTCTTGAGGTTTTGGGTTTTTTTAAAATCATGTATCTACAAGTGTCTGTAAGTGCTATAGAAGTCCATTAGAATTAATCTGTTGCTTCTGCTAGCCTGTTGCTTCTGGGCCGGCTATAAACACAAAATGTTAACTAGCACCAGAACACATGACAGTTTTGGAAGCCTGGGGGGGTTCCCTGATGATAAAAGTGTTTGTAGCTCTGTGTATAAAATGCTCTCCCTTTTTAGCCTGAGTACTGTGCAGGTAACGTTGGTAATATGCTAGCAGGTGTGTCTATTGTAAAATAAAGAATATGTTTTACGTTCTTGGAAATGCAAGGGTACTCCCTAATGGTGTTACCTCACATAAAGCAGAGACTCAGTGCTGTGCATCAGTCAGCTCTCTCTACAGCTCAGGCCTGGTTACATTTCGGTTTAAGGTCCATATAGTTAGTAAAAACACTGAAAAGTGTCAGGTACACAAGATGTAAAGGTCTGGGGAAATAATGGAGCAAAAATGTTTCCTTAGAGAACAGTGCCAAAAACCACACAGAAGTCATCACTTGAGGCTGCTAGGGTATTATTTAGCTGACTTTGGCTTTGTTAGGCGTTGCACGGTATGTAATTTCTGCAGAACGGACTTCAAAAACTTATGTCAAATAGATTAGCATTTTTAACATTAATCAGTTTGCTCAGTAATTACACTGCTTAATGTTCAGTGTAAAATTACATTGCTTGATAATCAGTTGCCTACTGTCAATTTTATGTAATTGTGAATGAGTTTTTCTCCTTCTTACAGAGAATTGTAAGTGCACAGTGCTTGGCTGAAGATGATGTTGAATGAGGTCACACCACAACAGGGGGGAAAAAATGTTTTCTTACCCCAGAAGATGAGCATCAGTAGGGGGATAAAGGGGCAAACATAGTAGTTAATGGACTGTGTACCACATCGGGTTCTACCAGAGTTAAAATTAACTTTGTGTAGGTGGGTTTCGCAGGATTTTATTTATTATCCCAGTGAAAAGTGTATTTTGATAAGAATTCATTTTATAAATACACTGTGGTGAGTTATTAAAGTATCACTAACTTCATTATTATTAAAATATGCAGTTGTAATGTTGTACATATAAAGACATAAAACTACGACCTATTAAAAACCCAATGCTCATTTTTGAAAAAACAAAGTTATGGCAAGAAAGATTTATCTGCACTTGTGTGTCCCTATAGTACTACTTTAAATTTCAGAACATTTGGGTGTCAGATCTAAAAATGACTTAACATTAAAATTTATTTTTAATGTTATGGCTGGGCTTCCAATGCTGTTGATTAAGTCTAAAACCTTGTGTCATTTCCTGAGAAAATAGACATGTGGTCATTTAAACAGTAACCGATCACCTTAGAAAGAGAGGCAAATCAGAATGGTAATAGATGACTGGCTGCAGAAAGAATGACATCCATTTCTGTCAGGAACAGTAACATCTAAAGTGATGCAAGTCAAAACTGTATCTGGCAAACACAAAACTCTGTTAATGCAGGTGTGTGAAATAAAGCTGTTTGGAATAGAACCTGGGGCAGATTGTAAGAGCTTTTTTTGGAAAGCTTGAAACCTTTTTGCGAGATAGGCAGTTAATGTTTCAGTCTCTAGTCTTCAAGACCATAGAAAATGGTTGTTAACAGTCTTTGGTGTTTGCCTTAAAAAAAATTGCACTGATAAGGTAAGATGATGATATCCCCAGGCTAAACTAGCTAAAGCTAACAGAATTAGCAAGATGATGTAAAATTTCGGTATGGTGTGATACTGTAAACTTGAATTTAGGTAAGTTCTCCTTTGCCAGTGAAAAGGAGGTAAATAATGTACAGACTCAAGTGAGTAGCAGAAGCATACTTCTGAAAGCAAGTTTTCCATGGATAGCAGGTTCTGAATGTCAAAACAGATTGGCTTCTGCTGTTCTCTGGTTTTGTGCTATCGCCACTCGGGTGTCAGAAGAAACAATTAAAAATGTAGCTCTTTATTTTTGGCACGGTGACTTGTTTTAACTTAAGGAGGAGAATGCTTCGAGGTGTCTGTCTTTCAGACCAGCTGATAGTTTGTGCTAATGATGCCGACACATTACTAGTAAGGTACTACGTGGCATTGTCCAAGTAGAAGTGAGATACTCTGAGAGCACTTTAGCCAGCATCCCCATCTGTCTCTGTCTCGTTTCAGCCTGGTGTAAGTTTCTGTAAAGGCAGATTCTTCCAAACCGTAGGTCTCAACGTGTCAAATTGCCTCACACAGAATTTTTGAGGAGTGGGTAGTTCATGGTCACCTAGCAGTCAAATACCTGAGTTTGGGAGTAGAAATGGCTCTTGCTGAGTCAGTCTGCTTAGATGGTTTGCCATGGAAGAGATATTTCCCACTTAACCCCTTGAAAACACAATTTCCCAAGATTTGAGGTGCTATTGAATCTTTCTATAATGTGACAAATACTGAAGTTAATGGCTGGTACGAACAAAGATTTCTTGAACAGCTGGCTGTAGTTTAGTCTTTTTGTTGTGCTTGAATTGTTCAGGTAGCATAAGGTAAAAGTAAAACTTAGTAGCCATAATCTTCAGGTGACAATGGCTGGTTTGCTGTTTTAGTTTATTTTAGAGGGACAAAGTTATTCTGCACCTAGAATACTTAATAAAAATACTGTGAAATTGCAGAAGGTTCTATTTTTAATGAGTACAGTGAGGCTTTTTGGAGGAGTTTTTCTTCTCCTTTCTAACCCTTAAAAGTAAAAAGTAAGAATTCATAGGTTATGCTGACAGAACTGTTAGCATATCTACCTGCTGTCCTTACTGGTGGCGGTCGCTTCAGTGTAATAGCTTTTTGGTTCAGCTTCTAATATCATCTTAAGGTAAATCAAACTCTTCCACCCTGCCTTGAAAAACAAACCCAAACAGCATAAGACAAAAGCGGCACCCTTCCTTCAAACTTGAACAATTTTCTACACTCTTTGGTATAATGATGACAATTTGAATTCACAGTTTAGCTTATGGGAAAGCTCTTCTGAACGAAGTATGTTTTAGCAAACCTGGGTGTCAATTCTTCTGATTTTGATGGAAGACCTGGTGATAGTCTTGATTATGTCCACAAATGGCCATTGCTTTAATAAACGTCATAGACACACATATTACTCTAATCCCTTTTAGTTTTCTTGATCCTGCAAAGCTAGATGCAAACAAAATTGTAGATGGCATAGGTTTAAATGAAGCCTTAAGTACAAATTGGTTCTCATATTTGATAACCCAGAAATACCTGGTTAGTATGCTAGAGCAAACTCTGATACCTGTTTTGAGTGCCTTGGCTAATAGGGTGGGAATGATGAATCCTTTTAACGAGGCTTAAGACTTTTTTTCCAAAATCACCCGCTGAAGCTAATACCTTACAAACTGTGAAGACTTGAAGATATTGTCTAGAATGGGAATTTGCTGTTGCTCCAACAATGGCAGGCTGACGCTGGCGTAGCTAGCGTGCACAGCCCACAGATGTAGGAGGCTGTAATTTAGAACTGGTTTCAGACATAAGCAAAGTGCAGGTCATCGGAAGTGCAGTGGTAATGATGGATGTTATTGCATCAGTAGTAGTAATGCCATTGCATTAGCTGTGCATAGTACTGTATTTCTTTTCACCTGTGCAAATTAAAAAGGTGGAAGTGAGCCATTCCAGTTGTGGATTTGCTGCTGCTGAGCTCACAGCTGCTGGTGAATAAGACCTGTAATCTTATTTTACTGCAGGTAAAACTACTAATCTTTCTCCCAGAAAGAGCCATCTTTCCTTCTGTGGTGCTCCAAGAACAAGGCACTTGTTTTCAGCACTAAGGATTTCTCATAAAGGAAATCAGAGGTCTGCTAGTTTTATGTTGGGAAGTCTCCTATCATCAGTTATGAGCTGCTCCCGCAGCTTTTATAGAAAAAGACCCATCTAGTTTCATGATCATGCAGGACTACCTTTGATGTCTCACCATTAAGTTTTCTAGATAATGGAATTGAATCGAAAACCAGAGTGATCAGGCACACACTGAATCATCTGGCACCGATTTCCTTACCCTGGGGGATGACAGAATATTATTGTTGCCCTTAACTTGAAAAATTAAGGAGTCCCAGCCCTGCTGTGTAGGAGGCCAGCCAGCCATCATCAAAATAAAGCTCCAGCTATTTATGCACCCAGAAGAATCTGAATTCAGTTTCATTTGTACATCTGTTGATGGTGTGTTTAAAGTCCCTTAGGCTGAACAGTGGCCCTACATGACCGTTGTGTTAAAATTAACATGAGTTAAACTTCAAGGGAATCTTTGAAGTGGTCACTAAGTGCTTTCAGCAAGTGTTTCAAAGGCATGTTGTACTGTACACCAATGCTTCTGCGTTTTTAAACATATGGGTGTGAAAAGGGCTGATGTGAAAAAAAAATAATTTCTTCAAGGCTTCTGTTGTACCCAAGTATTGGTTTGGTTTTTAATTTGTGTGTTTACACTGACCAGTAGAGCTTATGGTCTCCTTTATGCAGTGACCAAAAAAGGCCCGTCTGCACAGCAGTCAAATCTGACCAAAAGCCTGTTGCAAAGAGCTGAAACTTGTACTTAATTCACGAGGACTGGGCTAGCGTTCATCAGAGGCGCTCCTGAAACTGAGCTTCTGGTGCGGGTAACAGTACTTGTTTTCTGCATTTGTACCAAAACAGAGCTTCCCAAAGAAGAAGATGTGGACATCTGATGCCGTTCTTGGAGGGCAGAATTTGCCACGGCCTGTGTATGAATGTGTGAGTGAAGCCATAGAAGGCAGCTGGCCCTTCCGTGATGTTTCTGTACCAAACTGTCCAGCATACTGGCACTAGATAATGGGTGGCTTTTTCAAAGTACAGTGGTTTCCATATGTTCTTGAAAAGAAAATCCAGGTTCTCACTTCTTTCCCTGCAGTAGGGGCTTACAGGTGCTAGTTTTACAGAATATTTGCTGGACGTCTTTTGATAAGGTCACTACCCTGTTTTCCAATCGCTGCTGTAACCTAATAATCATGAGCTCTTAAAGGCCTCTGTGCTATAAGCTTTTGACTCCAGACGTATAGTTCCAGTTCCTGTTTTGTAAAGGTCAGGCCTTGATTTAATGGCTTGACAGATGCATGTCCTCCTGCAGCACGCGCTCACGACTACCATTATTTCCCTTACACCCTGAGGATGTTCTTGACTCATCTTTGGGGTGAGAGGATGTCTGTTGGTGCTCACCCACTATGTGATAGTTGCTGAATGGAGCGTTGTTGCAGTTAGCACAATCTTGCTACAGCCTGCAAATCTGTCCGGATGGTCCGTGCTGCAAGGCAGTTATGAGCGGCTTTCATGTATGAAATTTCTACTGCGCGTGAAGGCAGAAAACAGCTGAAGTCAGATAGTTCTGCCTCTTCACAACTTGGACCCTTACAACTAAAAGCTGATTTGGTCACACGATCATTTATTTGAGCAGGTCTTAATCTAAACAGCAGAGGGCAGTTTTGCACACGCGTTCTGTGCAAGCTCATCCTGCAAAATCCTAATTTTTAGAATCTTCCTGTCTGGTGAGGTGATGCAATGCAGCATTTTGTCCAGACAAATTTGGTACAGTGTATAAGACAGGATCAGTGGGGCAGCAGTGGCATATGTTTCTACTGATGCCTAATTTTGCCTTTTTAAAATTTAAAATCCTGTATGTTTCATTTGTTGTGATGACATGATTAGGATTTCCCTTTTCTTTCTCTCCATCCTTCAACACAAACCAGGTATATAGATAAGCCAGCTGCATAGTACAGCTTAAACTCTGCAACAAAATGCAACTGAATCTCGTTCCCAGGCATGCAAGAGGAGAGTTTTCCCCTGCCCAGCTGTGATTTTTCTGGATGAGCTTTGCTAGCTGGAGTGAAAGGAGAGCACCTGTTAACTGCAGTAGGGGTGGAAGAGAAACCTGCATCTTGAGCCCCTGCCTGGAGTTGGACTCTGGCTGTGATGGCCTGTGTGAGGAGGGCCAACCAAAAAAAAAAAAAAGGGCAAGATGTTATAGGTTGGTGACGGGATGCAGTTTCGTTGCTGGTTGAGATTCAGCTTAAGGTGGCAAGATCTACTCACCCTGTTGCAATCCTGTAGCTGATGCGAAGTGAGCTGGTGGGGTCTCATGCCATGGAGGCAGCTATTTGTATCGTAGTGGCACCCTGGCTTGAGACCAAATCTTAACTACTCCTGCACCTCAGAAGTGGTTTTTCTCTGCTTCCTGAGGTGTGTTTCCAGGGGGAAAGTGTATGTTGATGCCGTACAAGTAATTGGAAGTTTTCAGCCCTTGTAGCTGTCAATCAGCATTTTTCCAAACGTTCAACTTGTTAGTAAGAAATTCTTCAAAGTCTGCTTAAAACATGGCAAGTATCTAGAGAAAGAGAGCTGTTCAATAAAAGATACTGTCTCTGTAAACCATGCTTCTCCTTCTTTAGGTCAATCTGGATACGTTACACCCTGTAAGATAGCCCGGAAGATACAGAAATTTGCTGTAACAAAACAATCTTTGCCTGTTTTGGCATGTATGTAAAAGAGCATTTCCTGGAGCTCTGAAACAACCTGGTTAGCACCTTTTGTTGTATTTAATATTATTTAATGAGAAGGAATGTACATTCAGCTTTGATGATTAAAATGACGATGATTATTGCATGAATTTGTTAATTATAATGCAATGGCTAATTAAATGGAGAAATGGAGAAAAGGGATTCTTGAGCAAGCATGTTCTTTGAGAAACTCTCCTCTGGTGTTTTTAATTGATAGTACATGCCTAATCAGTTCATAGCAGTATCTCATTATTGGTGGGAACAGTCTGGTTTTGATAGAAATTTACTTTCACCACACATTGACCTGGTATAATGTAATTGCTTGGTCCTGTAAGTTACTGCAATGAAGAGTACCAACTCCTAGAATTAAGGAGGTGGAAGGTTTTGCCTATATGAAGAAGAGAAGCCCCATCTGACCCCAGGTTGCAGCCTCATGTTTTTTGAGTTCTTCTGGTTCAGGTGTTTGCTATAATGACACTCGGCTGAGTTTGCATAACCATGAGGCATTGCTATTTGATTTACATTTCATTTGCTTTTATCTCTCCATCTGAAGTTTTGAGCTTTAACATCAGGCCCCTTGGCTTATATTGGGAGTTGTCTGACAGAACTAAGGACCCTTTTTTACTTCTCTGTAGGGATGTTATCTACTGGCCATTGGCACTGGCAGAATTCTTAGCATGAAATTATTATTATTACTTGTGTATCAGCAGAGATGTGTGTGGCACTCTGAAGAATCTGTCAAGATGAAGTCTCTGCTTCTGCAAGCTCACAGTCTGCGGTCCTGATCCCGTAACTTACTCTGCATGGTCCTTTCCTCATGGAAACCTAAGCAGTCGAGAGCAGGACATTGGGACAGTGACACAGGAAGGGAGAAGGTAAGGTTTAGGATAGTATGATTGTTTTGGTAGTTATTGGGTGGGTGTTTTGTTTATCTGAATTATGTATGAAGCTCTAAAGCTTGCTCCTTTTCCACATCACATTATTTTTAGACTAGTTGGCTAATCAGTGCTAGTTACTAGTATCATCAGGAAAAATCAGACCTCAACCAACCATAGATATGCTTATAAAGCATGAAACCTACCAAAAGAAAAAAAAGTATTAAAGGCACTCTCTGTAATTGAAAACATTTGACGCACACACACACCCAAACTGAAATCAAATAACATAAACTGTCGAGCACTGGGTTAATTACTCTGCTGGCAGTCCTGCAGTTCATAAGTGGCTTCTGCATTGCAAATGTAAGAAGCAATCTTTCAGAAATCTGGCTTGCTGTTTGATAGCAACTTTAAAAGGAGCTCTGACTGTTCTGTCAAAACTTAGTAATCAGCCTATGCCATAGCGCCTGAAATTCAGTGACCTCATCGTGCAAATAGGAAAGCTGGGACATAGGTATTAAGCAGGCATAAGCAAGGCAAACAGCTTAGAAAGCAATGCAGTGAGTCAGCGTCCATCCTAGAAGTTGGACTGCAAACTGTGAATACATGACAACTTGATAAAACGGTTGAAAACTGGAGAGGTACTTTACTGAGAGAAAGTTGTAGCCCAGTTTTGGACAGTTGACCCATCCTTAAAAACAATGCAGCCTTCTAAAGCTTGCTTCTGACGCTCAAAGTCCTTGTGGTTAGAGCAGATGTTATCTGTTGACCAGGATGGCTCTATCCTTTTTCCGCTTTGGAGCCAGTATTTGGAAAGGAGAGGAGGATATGCCTGGAAGGAGCTGGCTACATGGTAGCCATATATCCAGAAGGTCGGATGATCAGACTGCTGTGTTCTGCCACCCTCAAGAACCAACAGACTGGTTCTTAGTGGGAGCTTGAGCTAACCACTTGGGCACCTTGGCTTCTCTGGGCAACTCTGGAAGTAAGTGCTGATAAGTTAAACTGGTTTTCTGAAGCACACAGAGACCCTGGGATGGAATGTATTGATATTGGGGCAGTGCTCTCCCCATGCTTTTTGTCACAAAATGTGAAGCAGGGAAAACAATTGGCTCCTGTGTAGAATCCCTCCCTTCATTTTGGTTGTTTCCAGGATGGTGTTTGTTATGAGACTCTGCCACGGTCGGGAGCAGTGTTTTCTCTGCTGGGTTGCCCTCAAAATTTTTCAGCAGGGCTGATAATATTTGTCATTAGACTGTAGTAGATCTTTTCACAGATGGATGTCTCCTACCTTGGGCAGCACCTTTTCAATAAAAACAGTGATCTCACCCTGATTTTAGAGAAAAAAATTAAGAAACAGATTGCAGTCTGACAGAACCAGCAATGGCTCAGACTCAGGATCCTTCATGGCCTTTCCTTTTTTTTAATCTTACTGTTCAAATCCTGCCTCCCCAACTCCTGGTAATGTTGCAGATGTTGTGTGCTTGGTCTCAGGGGGTGACAACACAAGCTTTGTTGTTGATTGATGCAGCAGGGATTTTGTAAATTCTAAGTATTTGTAGGTCGTCATAGTATTCGTAGTCACCAAAGTATTTGTAGAGGTCATCACTCTGGGCTTTTGAAGAAATGCTGCTGTAAGACTGATTCACTGGAGCAGCATAGATTATCTTCATTTTGGGGAAGTTAACTGCATTTTCCTTTCTTCTTGGAAGACCACGTTATTTTTGCTAATGTCAAAGAATATCACCCTTGTTGACATGGCTGCTTAGGGCACATACAGTACAGTTGCGCTCTTGTGAAGCTTCACAGGACTCAGGAACCAAAGACACGGAGCTAATGATTAGCTAGACATACTGTCCTTTGCACCAGGGCCAAATGCAGTCTGCTGCTAATCACCTTTCATTGCCCATAAGGTGTGAGAGTGGTCATTTATTTCCAGTGGGAAGTGCAAGAACAGAAAGCACTTTGCCATGAGGCAGACCTTTGTGGGCAGTCTTGGATGCCTGATGCAAAGCTTCTTCTATTGCTTCCCAAAATGATGGTCTCTTCTGGCAGAGTTCAGGCACTGGGAGTGTTTTTGTTTTCTGGCTAAAGAGAAGTCTGCTGCAGCCAGGACCTTCCAATTTAACATCTTTCGATGAACATCAGAATTCACATACACCAAAGCTCCTTTTGCTTTTTAACTTGCTGCATGAAGGTCATACAAAATAATTCATTCGCTGCCCTTTGCTGGGTGTCTTCCAAAGGTGGAGTGCCTGCCTTTTGCTATCTAAGGGGCTTAGCATTTTGGCTTTTCTTTTTTTCAGTGTTGAAAGGTTAACATTTGTATTCTTTTCAGAATACAAAGGAAATGTGTCATCGCAGAGGCACACAGTGGAGTTAAATTTTCAGGGGTGGCACTGCAGATAGCATCCGGGCACACAGGTACTGAGGCGTTTGGTCCTACGCGATTGGGAACAGGGCATCAGCTTTAGATTCAGGCCTGTCTCCTTGGGTCAAGGTGGCACTCGCTGTTCCTGCCAGCCCATCATTTTGCTGTAGATGTCCATATGACAATCGCAGAACATGCCGAGGCTGCGGTAGCATTGTATGCAGCAGCAATGAAAGATGGGAATCAGCGGGCCTCAGTGTAAACACCAGCTTTTCCCAGGAAAGCCCAGTTTGTCTTAAACTCCCTTTTGGTGGAATTTTTCCCTTTTCCCCTTTCCTTCCTACACCTATCTTTTATAGACCAAGCGGTTTTGCAGTTGTCAAGCGTGGTTGTAAAGCACTGGAGGGAAACGGCCCCACGTTCAGGTAGCGTGCCTGCTGCCCGGACCCAGGGACCGGAGAGGGCAGGCGTGGAGAGCCTGCAGAGCCCCATGTGTTTTGGCTTCCCAGAGCCGGTGCCACTAGATGGCAATGTGGTACTCCTGCAGCTGGGACTCCCCTTTTCTTTCCTGTAAAATTTCTTGCTTTTTCTGTATTTATCTCTGCCAAACTGATGGTTGCACCCACCACCCCGGCAAGAGAACAGAACAAAATCGTTTCATAGAACATTACAGCTGTTGTGCCTTTTTCTTTTCTTTCTGTTTTCCTTCCCCCCCCCCCCAGTTCTTTGTCCCACAGCAGGGTGCAGAGGTTTAAAAACCTTCTTTCTTAACCGCTCTCCTTCTAAAATCAGAGAAAACACAGCCTCTTGGGAGCAATTAGCTGTGAGAAAAGCATTTCTCAAACAATTGCCAGGAAATATTGTCTTGACCGATATTCCTGATGTAACACTGTCGTTCTCAGTACTGTTATTCTAAGATACTCGACTGCAAAAACAGCAGGGTACAGATCTGTAATGTACTATCTGCAGCTTACCACCTACCTTACCTTTTTATATCCATTTACTTTCAGTTTGTGTCCTCCCCGCACCCCCTGTAGCTATTCTGTTTAGGAGAGTGAAGAATTATTTGTGACTCTCCTCTTGTGACTAGTGTATCAGGCCAAGGCTGTGACAAGACACAGCTGAAAATTAAGGTTATGCCTCTGCTGCCCGGGTTCCTCATTGAAATTCGGTGGCAGTGTGCTGCGGAGGAGGTCAGGCTGCATGCTTTACAGCGATCCCTTCTAGCCTTAAAGCCTGGCAGCCTGGGAGTACGTGAAGTTGGTGAAGCCTGAATTTCAGTGGGAGCAACTGGAGAGCAGGTATACATGAAGCAGGCAGCAGAGGTACACTGAGACCGGGGTCTCGACCCTGAAAGCCCTCTACCCATCGTTGTATTCATGGAAGATAGACCGGGCTGTAGGGTGGGAAGAGGTTGGAGGAATGGTGGCAAACTTCAAGCACTAAAAGCCAGCATTAGCAGTGACTAGGAGCCGCTCCTAGCTAGCCAGCTAGCTAGATGTACATGCTTGCATGCCCATTTGCATGCCCAGCCATAGCCGTTTGTATTGTGCAGTTCAAATTTTGTCCCTCTTTACATAAATTCATGGAGATTTGAGAAGTGAGCTTCGCTCTGTGGGACAGGGTGTGAACTGAAGCACCTTCTGGAAGACAGACAGCAGTGTAATCCTTTCATTCAACTCTGTCTGCAGCTGCTTTTTATAAACTTGGCATAAATACGTACTTAGTGAGGCCAGGCCTGTGTAGCTGGAAAATATTTTCCACCATCCAAAAAAACAGAAGATTGGAAAAAGAGCCCAGAAATTGTGCATAACATGGAATGGCCTCGCTTGTGGTTTTTTTCCATGACTTCCTCAGCTCATTTTTCTGCTGCCAATTTTAGAAGCCCATAAGTCATACTTGTTAAACTTTCTCAGTTAAAATGTAACTCTAAGAACAAAGTCATATGATATGTTGCAGCCAAATAATCCTTCCAGAGCCTCTGACTGGAGAAAAGCTACCCTAATCTGGCCAGCTTGCGAACCTGCATGGGCTCCTGTCCCAGGAGAGGCAGGGCCTGGGGGGCAGGTTCACAGTGTGAGGCCCAGCTGCGCCGCCCTCCCGGGTGAAGGCTTCCCCGTGGACTTCAGCAAGCATTTCTCCCTGCTTTTGCTAGGGTAGTCAGGCCCGTGGTGGGTTATGTTGCAGGACGGTCGTTGCAGAAATTTCAGCTCCTCCTCTAGAAGGACTTAAAGCAGGAGGCGAAGCAGAGGAGGGAGCGAGGGGAGGCAGCACAGAGGCTGGCGGGGTCCGGCGATGGAGGGTTGAGACGCCGTTGTAGGAGGGTGCTGCTGCCGTCAGGGTGAAGGAGCTGAGGGGTCGGAGACAGCAGGTTGCCAAGAGTGAAAGTGAATTTGCTGGAGGGTGTGAAGAAAGGGTATCCTTACTTCAGTGCGTTTCTAAGCATTGAATCAATATGGAAGTACTCGCATGCCAGGAGCAATACTTTTGTTTGCCAGTTTTGCTCTCTTCTATAAGGTGATTGTGCTTACACCGGGCCCTAGATGGTTGTCTTGAAGTGCCATCCCTTGTCCAGGGTCTGCTCTGTCCCCTCACACAGAACAAATCCCCGATCACTGCTGCGGGGGGG